CAGCACTGGGGAAGCCAAAAACAGGATCACCACAAGGCAGATCTTGTCGTAAGACCCTGTACCAAACGTACAAATTAAAAAAAAAGGGCTGGGTGTGTCTCGGGGAACACTTGCCTACTTGGCACAAGGCTCTGGGTTCCATCCCAGCGTCAACAACCAGACGCAGGAGGACAGCTGCATGGAGCTGTGCCCACACTGCTGAAAATCACACAAATGGATAAAATTCGATAGAGAAAGCCGAGAGCTCAGGAGGTAAGAGACATAGATGTGTGATGGAAACATGAGGGCCGGGGAAATGGCTCAGTAGAATAAGCGCTTCCCTAGCAAGTGGAAGGACCTGAGATCAATCCCCGGTTCTAGGGGAAAGAAAAGATGAAAACATGAATCAGCAGATATGAGTCAAGAAATGAAAAACTAAAATTCCAAATGTGAAGTCAGCATTAGCAGGAAGATTACAAATTTGAGCCCAGCTTGGGCAATTTAGCAACATAGTGGGACCCTGGCTCCAAATAAAAGGGTTGGAGATGGAGCTCGGTGCAAAGGCCCTGGGTTCAACTCCAGTACCAGAAAACAATCAGCAGCATCTCATACATTCACCCTGTTGTGTGATCACCTTTTCATCCCCTGGCAAGATAGCCTCATAGCCACTAAGCTACTCCCCAGACCCCTCTTCCCTGCCCCTGGTCACAACAGACTGATCTGACTACAGACTCTTCTCTCAACACCGAGTATAATGAGATTGTGCAGTATGTGGCCTTTTGTGGCTGGCTGCTTTCACTTACGGAAACATGGGTGGCTCCCATGTCATAGTCTGCATTGCTTTGATGGCAGGATGGAGTGCTACTGCACGAGGTGGACACCCACTGCCACCGCATTCCGCTCATCTACAGGAAGAAGGATGCTGGCTGTTTATGCCTGTTGGCTACTGGGAAACTACCACAGCGAACACAGCAGTGCAAGTTCATACACACCAGTGATGAGTCCACTGTTGGTCTTGCTGTGTGACAAGGCCCTGTTTCTGCACCTGGCCGAGTATTCCATCCCTTTGGCTGCTGTGTTTTCTCTGGAGAATGTCAGGGTGGGGAGCACCAGGTCAGGGCAAAGTACTTGGAAGAAACTTCCAGGTTTCTCAGACTGGGACCCCTGAGGGCAGTGTGAGGGGCAGAAAGGCAGCCAGCAGAGCACAGGTCGGAGAAGGCCCACAGTCACTGGAGAAACAGGCCCTGGAAGTGAAGCCAGTGTGGGAAGGGCCACAGTCACACTGGAAACAGGCTCCTGCCCTGTGTGTTAAAATGTACCTGTAGGGTTTGAATTTATAGAGGTGACCATGTGATAACACATTCCATGAGGTGCCTGCCATGGAATGAAGACTCACCTGCATCTCCCAAACATGAAGGCGAACAGCCAAAGTAACAGGGACTTCCCAAAGCCAGTTGCAGGGGAGGGTGCAGAAAAACTTAGGCCATTGCCCTGAGAGGTAAAGATGGAGCGATCTTAGGATTGGCCAGGTGAGTGGTTCCCAGGGGGCCTTGGGCCTGGTTTCTGATGCTGGATTATTCAGGACAGAGGAAATACTGGCTTAGGGTATGAGAGTTGGGGGTCTGAATTCAGGACTGGTTTATAAGACTGTGTGTGTGTGTGTGTGTGTGTGTGTGAGAGAGAGAGAGAGAGAGAGAGAGAGAGAGAGAGAGAGAGAGAGAGTCTTGCTAAACAGTTCACGTTAGCCTTGAACTCACTGTATCCCAGGCAGGCCTGAACTCATCCTCCTGCTTCAGCCTTCTGAGTGCTGGATTACAGACATGTGCCACCATGTCCTGCAGATTTTTTTTTTTTTTTTTTTTTCCCCAAGATAGAATCCTGTTATGTTCCCCAGACTGGTCTCAAACTCCCAGACTCATGATCTGCCTTGGCCTCCCTAGTAGCTAAAACTGCAGGTACGTTCCACTGCCTTTGGCTTTATAATGTTTTTTAAAAACAACTTTGGAATCATCACTAGTGAAGTATCCTAAATACAGATTGTGTGAAAGGGGTAAAAGAGAGGGGATTTCACTGTGTTGCCCAGGCTCCAGTGCAGTGGCTATTCACAGGCTCGATTCTGCTACTGCACAGGAGTTTTGATCTCCATTTCCAACCTTGACTGACCAGTTCACCCCTCCTTATGTAACCTGGTGGTCCCCCTGCTCCGGGAAGGTCACCATATTGATGCTGAACTTAGTGTGGACACCCTGCTGGTATAGTGCGCTGCAGTCCAGAACTCCTGGACTCAAGCGATCCTCCTACTTCAGCCTCCTGATTAGCTGGGGCTACAGCTGCACGCCACCAGGCCTGGCTGTAATATGATTTTTGAGCAGCACAAAAGCTAGATCACAGCAATGTTAATAACGTCAGCTGTTTCTCTGTCCTATGATGAATGGATGCCACATGGATGTATGCAGACTCGGAAAACAGGCCACCGGGCCTAGTATTCCAAACACAGCTGAACTTTTCCTGGAAACGGTGGTCCTACAACTCCAGCAGCCCTCTTTCCTTTTCTCTACCCAGCTACTCCTAGGTAGTGTATTTGGTGGTTTCCTGGCCTCTGCTTCCCCAGAAGAGCCCATCAGCTGCACTATAGCAGCCATCAGATGCTCCTCCAACCTCCTAGTGCTAAGGCAGGAGTCTGGGCCTCGACCCCAACCCCAGAATTGTGTTACATCGCGCCCTCTGGTGGACCATTGGGGAAGAATCCAAGTTTAATTTCCACCTCTTAGGATGTGGGCCTGAAGCCCAGCTGTCACGCACCTTGTCACATTCCTTTCCCCACTAGTTCACCGGATACAGATATATAAATCAGATATCTACCATGCACAAGATACTCCCTCCCCTAGTAACTAAGTCACATACTAAATGATCTGACCTGAAAACCTACACCAGTGAGCTCCTTAGCTGAATCCAACCCCCAGTTATAAGGAGGGGGTCAGCATGGGGCCAGTATCCGACAGGTGAGAGCAAGGAACTGATAGACTGCTGGTTAGGTGCAACTGAAAGGACCAGGGAGGAGGTAGATGGATATTTGGTCTCCAAATCCTGCGTTTCAGGGGGCTTGTGGGTTAGCTCAGTTGTTTAAACACCTGCTTGAGCAAACTCAGGTGCATGGGACCTGTTTGATCCCCAGCTCCACATGGCTGACCAGACCCGCCCTTAAGGCAGCCTGAGCCACCCCCCCCCAAAAAAAAATCCCTCTCAAATCCTGCATTTCGCAGCCTGTCCTGGCTCCAGCTGTCCCTTGGACCAGGCTCCTGTCTCTTGCTTTCAAGGCCCTCCCCACGAGCTCCCTTACCTATCCTTGCTGGAGTTTTACCCTGTGGACTTCTTGGAGCATTTTCTTGCTTCTTTTAGGGAAATCTGCAGTGCAGTTTAACATTCTGCTCAGAGTTAAAGTTTAATTCTGTGTCCTCCAGGCCTTGGTGTCAGGGGCAGCACCAAGCCCCAGCCCTTGCTCTCCCTTCATTGCCTTAGGGGACAGCCTCCTCGCCTCTTCCATTTATCTTTTGTTTTGAGACAGGGTCTCACTGCGTAGTTCAGGATGGCCCTGAGATCACTATGTAGCCCCGGCTGGCCTCAAACTCGTGGTGCTTTTGCAATCTAGATATCCTCCTTCCACCTGGTGAACCTTACTCAAGGCCCTCAGACAGGCTGTCCCCGGACTCGGTTTGTGGCTGTTACTGGATTTGCGGCCCCCCCCCTCGGGCGCCAGGGAGGAGGGGAGCCCACCTGTGCGGGAGAGCCGCTAGGTCAGAGTCAGCGGCTGGTTACAGTCAGCAGCTTCCTTTTTGTTAACTTGCTGTTGCTTCTGCCTCTCCTAGATAGTGGGCGTCTGCCCTGCATTGAGACAAGTGGCCACAAGGGGCAGCAGGAGGCAAACACCTTGCCTGGAAATAAGACTACAGCCCTGCCAGATTACTGGCTGAGTGCGGGGTGGGTGGACCCGAAGCCCAGACTGTGCCCAAATAAGCTGGCCGGGTGCGTGTGGCAGCCCTGAAATGCAAAGACCCATGAGTCTCCTGTTGTCCCCTGAGCTGGGCTTAGGCAGAGGCTCCCGCCTCCCTCTTTCAGAGCATTGGGGGACCGAGTGGCTCGCAGAGCTCCCAAGACAACGCAGAAGTTGGAACTGACAGCCAGACATCCTGAGAGAACGACCCACATCAGGGACCCGAGGAAACCCGACGGGGGTGGGAGTGGGGCGGCACTGGGTTCAGGCTGGATGGGGTCTGGAGGGAGGAGCTATGGGGTCATGTGGGGCAGGGCCCAGGTGGAGAGAACCCCGGGAACAGGGGGAAGGCGGGAGGGGCGCGGTCCCCGTGCCTAGAAGCCCACACAGGACCCAGGGCCTGCAGAGCGGGCTCAGCCTGCAGTGGGGACACTGCAGTGAGCTGGCAGAGGGGCCCCAGAGATTTTCCCGGGATCAGCTGAAATGCAGTGAGTACTGAGGGATCGGAGTGGAGGTAGTGGGGCCCGGGCTGCAGGACTCCTCCTCTAACCCCCACCCAGCCGGGAAGCTGCTCTGAGCTTAAAGGGTTCCTGGGAACACGTGTACTATTGAATACAAAATGTAAAGCGAGCAGTGCTTCCAGTTCTGCATCAGGGAAGAATAGGGGCTGGTCTGGGAGACACTCTGGGGACCAAAAAGACCCACAGAGTCCTCCAGCAAGGGGCTGCCAGGCTCTGTCCACCTGCCCTGCTCAGCCCTGCCCCTCCCTGCTAGGTGTTCCCCTCACTTGTGCATAGTTTGCAGTAGCCACGCCCCTCTGCCTGCCTCAGTTTCTCTTCTGACCTGGACAGGCCAGAATCAGATGCGTTCTGAGGAGCCTTTTGGTGTGATAGCCCAGAGGAGCCTGCTGTCCGGCGCTGTGGAGACAGAACACACTGACCCAGACTGAGGGAGAAAGGCTGTTTAATCTGGGCTCATTGATGCCCCTGCTTCTGTTCAGGAAGGGGACAGTTGCCCTCGCTGTGGCTCCTCAGGCAGCTCGGGGCAGAGATTCTGAACGCCGATGCCGGAAGTCTCTGAATGGTCCAGGGAGGGTGGTGGTATTGTGTGGCTTCATGAGGCTCTGCAAGTGTCTCACTGCCTTCCTCACGTGCCTGTCCTTGGGGTCCGAGCAGATGAGCTTGCCCTGCACGGTTTCAAACCTGCCCCAAGGGATGTATGTATCTGGGTTATGGGAGTCAGAAAGGGCTTCCGGAGCCAGACAGCCTTCCTCCCTGTGCTGACCACAACCTCGAGGCCCCAAGAAGTGAGAACTTGCTGAAGCCACACTGGCCAGCCGTAGCAGCCTCGGGTCATCAGGCTGCAGTGGCTTGGTGGAAGCCACACTCCTGAGGCCCTACCTGAGTGCAGCTCTGAGGGACCAGGGCTGCAGACCTTGTGCCTACCCCACCCCACCTAGAGCCTGGAGACAGAGGGTGCTAGTGGGTCTGTGCTGGCAGCTGTCGTCCGCCTGGCTCTGGCCCAGGAAGGTGAAGTGACTGCATGGTCGCTAACTGGCCGCCTGACCTAGGGTGTCCCATCCCTCTCAGTGCCTCAGTTTCACCATAAGTCAACAGGGAAGTGGGACCTCTCGGCCTGCAGCCTCTTGGGTACCCCAGAGAGCAGGTTGGCAGTCAGGGCAGGGAGGGTCTCCTCTGCCTGTCTCCCCAGTCACTGTCCTGGGAACTCCAGGGCACTAGGAGTAGAGGTGCAGGGGAGGGGGACTTACACAATGGCGTCCCTGCGACACTCAGTCGAGGTCCTATACCAGCGCACTAGCTTCCTGGTGGGGATGGCTCCCTTGAAGTACTCCAGGCAGCACTCTCGCCCCACGTTGGCAGCTCGAGCTAGAGAGAGAGCAGGAGCAGGTGTCAGCACCTGGGGAGAGGGGGTCTGTGGGGGGTGTGTGTGTATGTGTGTGTGTGTGTGTGTGTGTGTGTGTGTCTGTCTGTCTGTCTGTCTGTCAGTATCTCTCCATGCCTGTGTTCTTGGGGTGGGTTCATGTGTGAGTGGGCAGGTGATTTTGTGTGTCTCTGTTAATGTGTGCATGTGTGTATGCGGGGCCTCTCTGTGGGTCCTGTGTGTGTGTGTGTGTGTGTGTGTGTGTGTGTGTGTGTGCACTTATCTGTGTGTGCATCCATAACCAGCAACCTTATTTTAACTTTCTCTTCCCAACTGAATATAAAAGTCTTTTTTCACATGTTCTTGGAACAAGTTCTCCTGTCTATGCTGCTTCCCTCATCATAAATAAAAGCCCGTTAATAAAGCAGACACTAACCCATAGCAGCAGAATCATCAGTTCTGCATGCAGACCTGGGCAGTCACTGCATCCTTACTGCAGTCCTTGGGGTGCTGCACACTGTCCCACCCTGAGTCTGTCCCCAAGCCCAGGGCCATAGCGCCATCATCCTCCAATGCTCTGCTCCCAGCCCCAGTGTCTTCTGTGGGCACATTAGGGCCTGCTCCTGCCCCACACCCAGCACCTGTGCCCAGCTCTTACCTGCATGGCCGAGCTGCAGGGAGGCACCCAGGAGCAGGGCGGCCAGCAGCAGCATCTTCAGGGACGTCATGGTGCCAGAGTGCGAGAAGAGCTCTGTGTGGTCCCTCTGCTCAGGGGAGATGAGCCTGGCGGTGGGGTTGGGGGTGACTTATTTAACCTCTTCAAGGCTGTGCCCCACCTCTGTCACCTCCCACTCCCTTCCTGGGCTCGGGTGATTCACAGAATTTGAGATGATTCGGTAGAAGTCCAGTCTTGGAATGTTTGTGGCTTTCCAGAGAATGGGTACTGAACTGAGGACAGAGGTGGGGTCCATGTATCCAGGGACATGACAGTGACACTTCTTCTTTCTCAGGGGACATTTCTTGGTTCCTCTATTAGCAGAACCAAGAGGCCTTCGTCCTGCACTGGGTTTACCCTGCTCAGATGCTGTGGAAAGGCCTTCACACCTGGTGCCCTGTGGGGACAGACAGTTGGACAAACAGCAGAGACCAAGTGAGCCAAGAGCTTTGGGGTCCTAAGAAGGTCCCCTAGGGCCCTGAGACTGCTGTGCACAGGTACCCAGCTGCTCCTCAGGGCCCCAAGAAAGGCCTGAGGCTCAGAAGGGCCCCGAGGGACGGCTCTGCTCCTTCGCCAGGCAGGGCTTTAAGCACATTTAATGCATGCTCACACTGAGCTTTGGTGGGTGGGGAGCCCTGTTCCCCAGACCAGGCCCTTGCTGAAGGTGCCTGCAGAGCGGCAGGTGCTCGGGAAGTGCAGGGCTGTGTGGCAGTGTCCACGCTGAAGCCCTGCTCAGGTCCCAGCAAGCCTCAACACAATTTCTAGGAACCCAGCCCGGGACTTTCTGCACAATTCAAGGTCAGAGCATCACTGCCCACCCATCAGTGCCCTGAGCAGCAAGGGCTCCCAAGGGGCAGAGCATTAGAATGTGTATGGTGCACGCCTATAATCCCAGCACTTTGGAGGCTGAGGCAGGAGGATCACCACAAGTGTGAGACCTCCCTGAACTACACAGTAAGACTCTGTCTCAAAATACCTAACTAGATAAGAAGGAACCCCGCTGCCTCCAGGTGTGCAGCACCGTGGCAGGGCAGCGTCCATCCTGGAGGTGCCTGGACTTCCACTGTGATGCGTGGGGTCTGCGCTCAGCTTCCTCTGTGCCTGAGCGACCAAGGACAGCTGAGAGTGACAGCCCCAGCGCAGAAGGTGCTGTCAGGTGTTTTAGGCTCTCTCAGGGTCAGCTCTATGATAGCCATTGACATTATTACATTTTCACTAACAGTGATAACAAGTACTCACGAGAGGACCAGGACATATCAGGACAGGACAAGTGCCCCTCAGATGGCAGGACTGCTTTAGTTCCTGCAGATGGGAGATGTTCCCTGCCCATGAGAACAGGATCCTGTGCCACCACCTGGCTGTGTGACCTCAGACAGCTCACAGACCCTCTCTGGGCCTGAGTTTGCCCTACACAGGGAATTCTAGATGGCTCCCAGGAGTCTAGCTAGTGGCAGGCCTAGGAAAAATGGGTTCTTATCTTGATGGTTCTCACACTAGCATTTGTCTCTGCTTTTCCTGAGTTCCATCAGCTGCTGGAGACCTGAACCTTGCATCTCCCCAGGCCAAAGTTGGGTGGCCTCTCTGTCCCTAGCCTTTTTACCTGAACCCTTGCTCCTGTCCCTGGGGCACCCTTCCACCTGCACATGATGTGGGTTTCCCGAGGGCGCACTCCTTGGTACATGGTCCCTGTCCTATACATCACAGGAGTAGCCAGCTGCCCCCCCCCATGCTGGCTCTGTTGGGGAGAGGGCACAGGGTCCAGGTGCTGTGGCCTACAGCAGGAGACCTGGGTCCTAGGAGACGACAGGAGGGGGAGCCGTCTCTGCTAGTCACCCTGGAGCTGGCTGCCCCCGACCTCACTATCCCATGCCCTCTGCCCAGTGGCATATGCCCACCCTCCTGGGGCTTCTCCATCTGCCCCTGATTACTGTTTTGGGCAATGGGCTGCTCCGGTGCAGTTAGCTACGGAACCCTCCACTTCTGGGGAACTCCCTGCCTGAGTGTTGTGTCTGAAGACTCCTCTGTGTCTGCTGTCTACTCTGGAAGGACCCAAATTCCCCTATCCTTCTAGGAAACTGGTCCTAGCAGCAGGGGCAAAAGGTCCCTGATTAGCTCTAGGCTGACACAGCTGCCAACCAGAAGGGGACAGAGTGGTGCTGCTTGGGTGGTCCCTTGAGGCTGCACCAGGGGAGGGGAAGCCACAGATACCCTGTGCAGCCTTGCCCTTGTGGAAGATGCTTCTCCTGGCCTGCAGCCTGGGATGCAGAGTGGGGAGAGGCTGCCCCTGGCCTACAGGCCTCAGAAGGCTTCGTAGAGGTGGTGGCACGGGCCTGGTAGGTAGGACTCACCCCAGTGAGGCAGGGAGGGCGCTGCCCAGGTGAAGGCGCACAGGAAGGAATATGGGAACATAAATCAGGAGAGCATGGGGCCGGGGAGCTGGCTCAGTGGAATAAGCACTTCTCTGGCAAGCTCAAGGGCCTGAGTTCAATCCCTGGTTCTGGAAAAAAAAAAAAAAAAAAAGAAAAAAAAAATCAGGAAAGCAGCAGGAACTGTGGAGGGGAAACAGCCCAGGTGCAAGTCTCAGACATTAAATTTTGTGAGGACAGGGCTGTGGCTACTTCATCCTGCATCAGGGTGTCCCTAGCACCTAACACAGTGTTGGACACACGTGGTCAGACTGCCGGTAACACTCAGCCCAGTGAATTCAGGACAAAAGGCAGCAGAGGTTGAGGTGCCTCCGTTCCTTGTTTGGAACACAGCAAAGCCAGGGACATTTGTGAAGTGGTTTCCTAATCAAGGTTTAACCACACATAGTCCTTTGTTTCCCCAGGAAATGCCAAGGGAGCTTCTGGTGGCAGTGATGTAATGAGTCGTGGAATCCAGGTGTGGAGCAAGGTCTGCTCCCACAGCAGACCTGTGGGAGAAGGATGCTGCTTTGCCCACTAGGGACCTTTTGGGACGGTCAGGAATGCTGCCTGGGGGAAGGGGTCTCAAGGATGGCCTTGTCCAGGTTATGAGAGCAGGTGTTCTGGCTAGAGTTAGGAGCAGTGTGGAAGGAAGATGGGGTGGAGAAGTGGCCCTGGTGGCCTCCCTGAGGTAGCCGACACCACCTGCTGGTGCACTGTGCCCTACTGCCCCAGTCTCCTCGTAGATGCCAGTGTGGACCTGTGCGGTAAGACCAGCCCTAGGTGTCAATGCCAATCCTGCTTTGGCCAGGATTCTGGGCCCTTCACCCTAAAACAAAGTAGTGAGCCCCTCCCTGTGGTGGGATGAGACCAGAGACACTCTGGGTCACAGATAGGCAGCAGATGTCTGGGTGGTAGCTTTTCATCGCTTTCTATTGCATTCAGGTTAGGAGTGGAAGTTGGGCCAGAAGTGTCATCCCAGGTCACAGCAGTGTTCACTGAGGCTCCAGCAAGTGCAGGGACTTCCCCAGGCTTCCTGGGCTCTCCAGAAGGATCCTGCTTGGTCTGCTCAGCCCCATCCTCTAGCAGCTGAAGCTGGATTTATCCTGCCCTGCTGGAGCCCAGGGACCAGGGCCAGTTCGGCTGAGATGCAAGGGTCTCCAGAGCGGTTTTCACCCCTCATTCCCAAATATGGCACATTCCCCATCTCTGAGAGTCCATCGTCCCTGGCAGCCCCTCGCCAGTTTCTTCCCCTTTGGAGCCCACATTGGGTGTTTTTGAGCCATCTTCTCACTGTCCACCTGCTCCACCTCTGCCTCTCTGCTGGACTCTGGCCTGTACTGCTGTCCCAGCTGCCAGGCTGCCCCTGCAATGTGTCCCCTCTTTAAAGCCTGGTGACACAATTCTGAGCCAGGCTTTGCCCTCCTAAGATCCTTCAGTGAGTGACCTCCCTGTTGCCCTCAGGATGAAGCCAAATTGCTCCTACTCCTCCTGCCTCAACTGCTACCTCCAGCCCACATTCATGATGCCACTTGGCTTTCAGTTCCTTGAAGTGTGGGCTCTAGCTGATCCCCAAAGCCAGGCTGTTGCTCTGTTTAAAACAATCGTTTCCACCCGTCATCCCACTTCCTGCCCTCCTTCACATTCAGCTTGGACCTTCACTTCCTTCCTTCAACCACTGCCATTCCCTGTGTCCCCAGAGGTCACTAACCCCACTCCCCGCCCCCAGCTGCCTTCATAATGTGTGGCAATTGCTAGTTTATTTGTTGGGTCTCACCCAGAAGGCTGTGCAATCCTCAAAAAATGAGAACCTCTTTTGTGTTCTGACTTGTCCCTCCGGGCTTAACACCTAGCAGGTGCACAATAAAATGTTGGTGAAATGGATGAAGAGGCAGGTAATTAGAGGGGCTGGGTTGAGGGAGGGAAGGAGGGAGGGAGGAAAGGATGGGTGAATGGGCTGATGGGTGGCGGGTGGGCGGGTCCATGCCTGGGGCCTCAGTGGGTGGGTGGCCACTTACAGATTTCTGAACTACAACCTGGGCCCAGCTTCACTTTAAGACAAAGGATTTCTGACCCACTGTGTCCCACCAGTTCACCCGTCATCTCAAGTCCTTTTCTCACAGATGAGACAGAGGAATCCATCCAAGGGGCTCTGACTCTTTTTTAAAAAATCTGTTTTACAACTTTCTTGTAGGTTGTGGCCATTTTTTGCTAGTCCTGGTCGCCTCGGAGGAGGCTTTCTGCCCAGGCCTTCCTCACCCCAGAGGCCTCCTTCTTCAGCCGAGGGTCAGTTGTGCACAGCCTCCCACCTGTGGCCCTGGCTTCAGCTGACAGTGTGGCCCTGCCTCTCTGTTCATTAAGCCGCTCCTCCACCCTGCACCCCTGTGCACCCCTCTTCTATTTCTCCTTTCACTTCTGACCTGGTTTCTTTGTCACATGGTCTACACTTCCCACTGTCATTTCTGCTCTGCCTACTTACGATTAATTTTTTTTTATTAGTATCTGTTTGTAGTATGTAGTGATGACATTCCTTGTGGGAAGCCAGAGTTGGTACTTGGACATAACACTTCTGAATTCTCTTTACCTCTCTTTCCTTTCCCCTCCCTCC